TAGAAATAGCTAGATTTATTTATTTATTTATTTATTTATTTACTTATTATTATTATTACTATTATTATTATCACTATTATTATTGTAGGCTGTATGCTTACTGTATCGCGGTGATGTGGTACCAAAAGATGTAAATGCTGCAATTTCCATGGTTAAAACAAAACGTGGAATTCAATTTGTTGATTGGTACTCTTTTTTTTTTTTTAATTATTCTTTTTTTTGAAATATGTATATAAATACATATTTTATTTTTATCCATTAAAAATTATTATAGGTGCCCGACTGGATTTAAAGTTGGCATAAATTATCAACCACCTACTGTTGTTTATGGTGGCGATTTAGCAAAGGTTAGCTTAATTAAGTAGTTAATTTAAATTTTAATTGTTAATTTAGAGTAAAAGTTACTAAATTAAAACTTAATTGTTTTTGTTTTAAACAAAATTTTTAAATATGCTAAATACTTAAAGGTACATCGAGCCGTTTGTATGCTTTCAAATACGACTGCAATAGCTGAAGCATGGGCACGTTTGGATCATAAATTTGATTTAATGTATTCGAAACGAGCATTTGTGCATTGGTATGTTGGTGAAGGTATGGAAGAAGGTGAATTTACGGAAGCACGTGAAGATTTAGCTGCATTAGAAAGAGATTATGATGAGGTGAAAATTATTTTAAAAAGATAAAGTATTTTAATTTTATCATTTAAAATCTTTCAATTTTTAATAAAAATTTTTCAAAAAAAAAAAAAAAATGTTGAAATAGCAATTTTATAAAATAAACATTGTAATATATTACTAATTAATTTCTAAAAATGATTGGTAAACAGATGAATTTGATATATTTCATAATTGTATTAGTAATATTTTCATTTATTCGATAAGTATCAAATTTTGTAAGCTTCAAATATTTTTAGACAATATTTATATAATTAGTTTGTTTTAGCAATAATTGAAATTTGTATTATAGGTTAGCAAAGATTCGGCAGCACTTAGCGATGATGATGAAGAAGAAAGTGAATATTGAAAATTTCTCAAATATATTTTTAAAAAAAAAAGAAAATACTGTGTAACATTTTAAATTATACATTTATTATATAGCAATAAATTATCACTTTTCTCCCATAATATAACAATCATTGTAAACAAACAACAATAATGTTAAAGTTATTTGCATAGTAATTGGAGCAACATTAAAAATATTTAATGAATAATAATAATAATAATAATAATAATAATAATAATAATAATAATAATAATAATAACATTTTGGATGATTAAATTTTTTGATTTACTCAAATGTTAATTATATAATTTACTCAAACTTATTAATACTTATAATAACTAATAATTTCTGTTGTATTTATTAACAATTCTCTTACTAAATAAATATATGAAATGCAAAAAAAGGAAAAAAAACAATTTCTGATAACAACCTAATCAAAATTTCATCTCTTTTTCAAGAAAAGAATTTTATTTTTTTTTCGTTCATTTCATTTCTTTTTTTTGAGATGTATTAAAAGATAAAAGTAAAATAAAAATTACTATCATTACTATCATCTCAGTTGCATTTCTGATAAGAAATTCTGAGGTTCTGAAACGTTCGTAAAGAAAAAAGTAAACAAATTCAAATAAGAAACAACAATAGATGAAATGAAGTAAACGAAATAGTGGAATTGAAATAGCAATAAATAAAAGTGTCACCATCAACTGTCATTATAAGCTTTACAGCATATTTGATAGAAGAGAAAATGTATGAGCATAATAAAAGTCATAAATAAGAAAATAAATAGAATAAATAAAGAATGCACAGTTGTACAGAGTAATAAAATAAGTATTGATAATGAAGCACCTGAATAATGATAACAAATGATAAGTAAGTCTAAGAATAATTATGCAAAAAATAAAGAATAGAATATTGTTAAGTTCTATTTAAATAAACGAAACAATTCCAATATGCAATCAATTTATGTAATTCGGACAACCTATTAATTCGGAATAATATTCCGGTTCATTACATACATGTGTTTGCATGTGTGAATGTGTGTGTGTGTGTGTGTGTGTGTGTGTGTGTGTGTATGTGTGTGTGTGTATGTGTGAGTGTGTGTATGTGTCTTCTGTCTACATATAGTTTTTCCATTTGTTGGAGTAGGAAATAGAGGAATGGTAAAAGGGAAATTAAAATAAACAAAAGTAAAATATTAAACTAAGAAAACCAATTTAAAAAGGTTTTAAATAAGTAAACTGAAATAATATGTAAATAATTTTTTAAAAAAAAATATATTTTGTAGTATGAATGAATTAATGTGAAAGTTTGAAATGGAAAATATATGCATGCCAAATAACAAATATATTTAGCAAATTTCAATTTTTATTATTCTATCAACTTTTTATTTCCTTTTCTCATTTTCATTTCAAAATTCAAATTCTTTAGATTCATATAATTAAATGTTTTATAGCATTGATTACCAATTATTCACATTCATTTGGTATTGTCATCAAATATCATAAACTAATGAAAAACCATTAACAACAAATGTAATTAGTAATGTTAATTTAAATTTAAAAGTTTAATAACCAAACACTTTGATTGTGCTAGTTGTATAATCCAAAATTCGATGATCACGATAATTTAAACCACCGAATGATATGCCTTGATTACTGCAGCAATAAAGAGGATTCTGCTAAAAACAGATGCAACAATCAATAATAAATTAAAATATAATTAATGAATTTTTTGAGTTTCAGCAATTTTTAAAAACTGTTCCATTAATTAAATACACTTTTTAATATAATAATTGAATAATAGAATTAATCATAACTGTTTATTATCATTATATGCATAATAGATGAAAATTTATTATGTTATAACAAATAGGTATAATTATTAAATTGAAATTTTTAAAAGTTGCTGAATAAAATTCCTAATTAATTAGGTTAAAAAACAAAAAATAAAGAACCATTTTTTTTGAAAAATCCAATTCACTGCCTGCAATTAATTCATTGAAACCATTTGGGATAAACAAATGCTTTCCATCCTGTAAATTTGCTAAAATTTCATTCAAGCATTTCTTTTTTCAAAAAAATAATATTCTAAAGTGATAACACTTTATGATTAATCTTATCAGATAGATCAATAAGTTTTAAATCAATTAATTTTTCTTCCTAAAGCATATGATACTATAAATGGATAATAGCTTAATATAAATAGATTTATGATATGTTATCAATTAGATGAATTATGCAATCATTAAATTTTTTCTCTAAAGCAATGATATAATAAGTTAATAATATTTTAAGTTAATAATATTCAAATAAATGATAGTCTTATCATTTTAGCTATTTTATTCTTTATATGATTAAAAGCATTTATATAGATTAACTAGTAATATCCTAATGAAATATTTATATATGATAACCTTATCAATTGGATCAACAAGTTGTACATTCATTAGATTGCTACATCGCATCAGTGCTCGTTCTGTAGCACGGGGTGATAACCATCCAAAACATTTATCATTAGCCATAAGGTCGAGAGCAGTGCGGGAAAAAACGATGCCAGCTTGAGGTAGAATTGTTGTATAAATATTCCATGGGAATAAATATGAACGGAAATTTCTAGAAAGTTGTAAGAAAGTTTAATTTTAGTTCTTGCTTTTTAAACAATTATTAGAAGTAGCATTGATAATTTATGATAATAACAGTTTGTAATAAAATTTAATCAATAACATATGACTGATAGTAATTGATAGTGATAAATATACATGATGGATAATATTTGTAATAAATAAGTATGATTATAATATTTAGCAATAAATAATAAAAAATTGATAATAATAGCAATAGTGATAAGAAAAAATCGTAATTATGATAACACTAGATGATAAATAAATATGGCAATATAAACTTAACTTATCATTAGTAATAAACAAACACAATGTGCAAATTGTTAGTAAAAAATAAACCTGATAGTGATAGATCAATCTAGTAGTGATAATGATATGATATGATATGTAATGACTTTAGTATGTTTTCGTGATATTACTTTCTGCAGTTTCAACTATTCTTCTTCACTTATATATCTTTATTAATTATAAAGTATAATATTGCTAATGCAAGCAAAGAAAATCAAAATTTTTTTTAATAAAAACTGAAATTAAATTAGAAAAGTTTTGTAACAAAATCAAATTGTGACTTAACAAATTTAAAACTCATTAAATAATTGTTTTAGCTCAAGACATTATTTTAATAATTTTAAAATGTCATTTGTAAATTGCTAACGTAATTTTTTTTTTATATATAGTAAAGAAATTATGGCTGAAGAAAAGATCTGAAGGGAAAAAAAGAAGTGAATAACGAAGACATAACGTAACGAATGTCTTGTTTTACTTTATAAGCAAAGGAAAGAAAGAGAGGGAGAGAGAGAGAGAGAGAAAGAGAGAGAAAGAAAAAAAGGAAATGAATTTATGAAATTTACTATTTATTAAATCATTTGATAATGTAACAACCAATGAAATATGCTGTTATTTTTCAAAATGCAATAAATGAAGAATATAATGTGAAATGTTATGAATGTATGATAAAAGACAAAGTATAATAAAAATTATTTTGAAATATTATTTAAAAAAAAAAAAAAAGGAAAATGTTGCTATAATCATTGTAGGTCATTGATAATAGTTGAAAAATGAGATTAACTTTAGAATTGAAATCAATCAGTAAAATCTTGAAAATAATAAGAATAAAAGCTGCTAAATTAACATTTATTTTGGAAACAACAAGAAAAAAAGCGATATACTCCCACTTTAAAAGCTCGCAGAGAAAAGATCACATAACTTCTTGCTGCCTTTTTTTTTCAATCAAAAATACTACGGAAAAGATTTATATATATACATATATGGGATATGATTTCTAAATTTCAATTTTCTAATCAATTTTTCTTAAAATTCCAATCACATAAGTTCAATAAAAAAGAAAAATTTAAAAACCATTTGAAATAATATTAAACTACCTTTTGTTAGATATCCTTCCTAATATAAATGATTGTTGTGAATTATTCAGAGCTAACAAAAGCCGTCGTAAATTTGCCATAACAATAAAAGTCTGCTCATCACTAATAATTGTCCAAAATTGATTCTGTTGTTCATTATACTTTGTGGAGTATTTGATAATTTCGCGATATAAATCCCAATGATATTGTGTTTTCTTCGTTTTTACAAATGCAATATTAATCTCTTCTACAATACTATATAATAAAGTAAATTCAAAAAAGAAGGAAAAGCATTTGTTTGCTATGTGAGACTTTAATAAAGTTACAAATTTTTCTGTAATCTAGTTGAAATACTTCAATACACATTTAAAATAAATTAAAATTTCTAATTTAGTGAGTCCAAACTTATATTTTCATTATTTTATTGCATATAATACAACAGTCATGATGGAAAATAATGGTGATAATAGCAATAATAATAATAATAATAATAATATTAGTAATAATAATGAATTACCTGAGAAATTACGGCGAATCCCTTCTGAATTTGTTATATAAACAGTATGATTGCATTGTTTAGTATAGGTGTCACGCAATGTTTGGACATATTTCCGTTTAAATATCTGATTGGGATGGATGAATATAATGCACTGTATTTGAATATCAGACAGAATTGAAGTATTTAAATTGATCGAAGTAAATTGTTTCGATTGATTTATTAAAATGGATTGTGTAGCAGTTTCATCTTCATAATTAAATGTGACACAAAATCCAAGTAGAATGCCAATTAAAATACCAAGAATAAATCGCGTAGTATTATTAGATAACCATTGCTTGCGACAAGTTGCGATTAGTCGCGACAATATCAAAATCACTTGTCGCATTAAATTTTGACCATATCTTTGGAATCTTGAAGAAGCAAAATATAACTTTTATTAATCGATTATTTAAAATATGTCAGAAAAAAGCAATATTATGCAAGTTTTCCCTTTTATCTTTTTTTTGCAAAAAAATTAAATAATTGGATTAATTAACTGTCAATTAATTAATTAAACAAACAAATAAATACTCTCACATTATCTGATTGCAATAATTTAGGGCATAGAGCAAACTATGATTATTCGACAATGACAGAACGATTGTGAACGTTGCCGATGATTTGCTATGAAAATGAAATATTTAAAATATCAATCGAATTTAAATCATTTGGGTTGAACTATCTGTTTGAGTTTGGTATTGGATGAATTGGTATGGTTGATGAAAGGAATTTGCGCAAGTAAATTTAAATTTGAAAATTTTTGAAAACTAATGAAACAGCCGAAAAAAAAGGAAAGACAAAAAGAAAAAATGATAAAACAATAAGAGAGAAGGAAAAAAGATTATGATAATAATGACAATAATAATGATCATAATAACGTTAATTATAAAAAAATATAAAAGTGTACTGAAATGTAAGTTGAATGAAATAATAAAATGGGGTGTAGTTGAATTAACAAATACTGAAAAGAAAAAAAAGTTGAATTGATATATATATATAATAGTTATAATAACATTAATAATAATATTAATAATAAATAATTGGAATAATAAAAGCAAATAAAAATTTTTTGTACATTTTTTATTTGTAAGAACAATAGATTATTATGCGTACTAAAGAGTAAGTAAGTACTAAATTGTATTAAATTGAAATGCAAGTAGAAAAAAGCCAAAATAGAGAGGAAGAGACAAAATTTTAATTTAAAATGAAAAAAACAGGATTCAGAATTCACTTTATCACATTTTCCCTTTATATCTTATCCCCAGATTCTTTTATTATTTCATATCAACAATATATTTTGTGCACGATTTATCACTCTCAACATATTTAGCATGCAAATATTTTAATTAGATTAATTATATACATAAAATAATGATGAAAAGATGATGGACTCGAATGGAATAAAAATTGGTTAATGTTTGATTATTGATAAATTTCGGCATTTGTACTGACCCTATTACTTTTACCGATCTCTTCTCATTCTCTTATCAGTCTATTTTGGTAAATGACACACTTTCTACAATCATTTATTACTCATAGAATTCTTTCCTATCACAACTAACAATCAATCATCATTTTTCATGACAACCATATGTAAAATGTCACCCATCAAATAAAATAAATTTTTTCTTTTAGCCATCTTTCTTTCATTCTTTTTTTTTTTTCATTAAAAAATTTTAAGACTAATAAAATCGGATAATTTATTATTAATAATTAAACAATGTAAATGTATGATAAATGATGAAGAAAAAGTACAATCTTTTTTTTTCTTTTTTCTTTCTTTTGTTTTGCTGTATGAATAATGGTTTATTTTTTGTTTAAAAAAAAAGTTAGAAAATAGAACATAAATGCAGAAAATGAGAGAATTAATCGTACCGCAATATTCTGGATGATAGAATGACTGATTATCTTTTATAATCAGATACCTAATTTATTAACAAAATGTAATTCACACTAAAATTTAATGCGACATCTTAAATATCATTCAGTTGCTTGTTATTGCTAGAATAATTTAAAGATAATCCGATAATTGCTGGAACACTTAAAGATAATAATTAGATAGTAAGATAAATAAGGATAATTTAAGAAAAGTAATTAGATTAAATATGTAATAATAGAAAATAATTTATGAGAAAAGTATATTGTTCCGAACTGCTTAAACTGCCTACAAATGATCGAAGACCGTTGGAATCAAAAAACTGAAATTTAAATTGAATAAATAATAAAAAGTAAAAAAATGATATCAGATAAAATATTAATATCAGATACAATATTCAATTTATTTCAAACACTTTCCACACTATCCACGTTGTAAATAATGAATAATTTTCTAGTTTATTCTTTTAAAAAAAACAAAGCGAATATGATTGTGGGAATAAGTCATATTTGAATATAATTTTCCATAAAATAACATGCCTTCATCATCATTAATGAGTACTACTTGACAATGAATCGTATTTGAATTTATGATTTAACTGATAAAATGTTGAATAAAATCGATATAAATGCATAGATAGATATAATGAATGAAAGAAAATGCATTATCACCGAAACATAGTAGAAAGGAAGAGGGATAGTATGGCAGAATGTAGTGGAATTTCGATTTTTTTTCCTTTTCAAAAGAAGAAAACTTGTTTTGGCACAACAATATGTGTAATAGGCGATCGTTTTTCTTTCAGATCAACAAGTTCACATTTTCAGCCAATTTTTCGAATGCATAAATTCCATTTTCTCTTATCATACAATGAATACTATTTTGCCATCACTCAAACTTTTTCTTACAGTTTTTTTGCTGGTATTATCACCACTATCACTAATATTACTATTACCAGTGTTATTATTATTTGTTATTATTATTAATTTTTATTTTCATTGACATTATTACTATTACTGTTATACTATTATTATCATTTTTATTGTTTCTGTTTAGCAATCATTTCCTCTGAAATGAAACAATAAACTATATATTCAACTAGCACTCTTGAAAATTTTTATTTGGATTCTAAAACTAAACATGTGATAGAATTCAAGTTCTTCCGATTATATTATCATATCGTCATTTTATCATGGTTAAAGCAAATGATTTGTCAATTTATCTGATATTTTTAATTAAAGGTTTTGAAACTATTGCCATTATATCTTATGATAAATTTAGATCGGAAACATTAGATCAATGTATTTTTGTTTATAATTTCAATAATTATAAAACATTATTAGCAACTAACATTGTTACCATCAAAATTACTGCGATTATTAACAGTTTACCGTTATTGTTATCCATTATCATATCGATAAATATGTTATTTCAATCAACAAATTATGCTAATTTGATTAAACTGCCAAAATTGGCAGAAACTTTCGAAAAACAATTTGAAAGGAGCAGAGAATATTAATATAAATAGAAAATGAATAGTTTGTATTCTAATAATAGGTAATATGGGATAGTGGTGAGATCAACATTCATTTATTTTGGAAAGAAATTAATCAAGAATCAATTGGAAATTTGATGTGAAATTCTTCATTCCTTACAAATATTTTCATTTGTCAAATGATGATAAGCAAACAAAGTTATAAAGAAAACGAATGATTATTTAAAGATATGCTAAGCAATTTTTCAGCATATTATTCATTCAAAATTAATTACTAAAAATTTCCAATAATACATTTGAATCTTAAAGTTTTAACAAATATTACTGTTATATAAGAGATCCCTTAGAAAAACTTAGAAATAATATTTGGTGCTATTTAAATGTCGTTGATTTAATGTTATCTATTTATGTCACAATTAATGCCAAGAAATTATGTTACAGAATATTATCGATATATGTTACTGAGATTAAATTTCTTGACTTGGTAAGATTTGAAGCAAACTTGATTCATAATCGCCTAAACCTGTTTCAAATATATCAAATGATCACTAATGAGAATAAAGTTATAGATACTAGCTTAAACAATATAAAATGATCGATAGGTTTATATTAAATAATGCTAATTAATCGTTCTTCATTAAAAGAATTCTTTGTTGAAAAAAAAAAAAAAACTCCATCGGTGATTTTATGATTATTTACTCAATTCTAGCAATTTCATTATTATTATCTATTTATAATTATTGTATGATTTGAAATTTCCTAAACGACAGATATTAATAATATTAGATATTTTGTTAGGAAAGATTGATAGATAGAAACAAAGGAGGTAATCAAACTAAAAGGAAAAAGAAAAATGCTTCATAATTTAATACTTCGGTGAAAGGATAATAATAATTACAAGAAAGATCCTGGAAATTTCGCAAGAACAAAAAGACAAGCAAATTGGAAATTTATAGACAATTAAAAGTTAAATAAAAGTGATGAGATTGAAATTTTCATAATCACTTCTATATTTTTAAGGCTAAGCTGTTAATGTGAGCGGAAGAGGAGGAAGAAGAAGAAGAAGAAGAAAAGGAAAAAGCGGAGGGGAGAGATGTGGGGGTGGTAGGGAGTAATTAAGTTAAAAGTAAGGGTTAATGATCATTAAGTGTTGTGGTGATGCTTATGAATGTTTGAAGGGAATTCAAAATTTGTATGAGTAGTGGTAGAGATTGGAAGGGCGTATAAAAAATAGCATATTTAATAATAGTGACAGCGAATAAGTGTAAGACAAGGAAGAAGTCAAATGTTTTTTCAAAGAGTTAAGTGAGAGAGTGATTTTATCGAAATTCCTGTTTGGTAATTCATTCATTTGGTATCAAAAATTTTGATGGTATCATTGAATGATAATATTATGATTTGATGGATATCATTTTGTGTTAATGTTGAGAATTTGACGGAAGTCATTTGGTGATAATATCAAGAATCTTTTTTCACTTGATTTTCTACTAATTTAGAATAACGAAGAGAATGGAAAACTCATGATATCATTGACAGATATATCACAATCAATTTGAACTGGATTGAAAGAGATGTCAGTTTGTTCGTATTTTCTTCACTTTTGTCTGGAATGTTTCAACGTTATGCATTGAATGCGCTGGGGAAAAAAGGAACATGTATTGTTGGTGATATTACTGTATGAAAGTTAGGCAAGAATAATGGCAATTTTGTAAAATTCAGTTTACTTTTCACTTTTTTTCTCGATTTCGCTTCAGTTTATAAGTTTATTATATAATTAACCTTGACAGAATTTTTCACTTAGACTAATATTATACATTATACAAAATTGCTGCAAACCAATTCTTACTTTTCTTTCAACTGTCAAGTAAATGAACTTTTAAATGTGACTATTGCAGCATTACTTATGGTTTGATTGTCATTATTTCGAACATTAGGAACAACTAATAATATGTATTGTGAGTGATTCACTTTAAGAAGT